CATAGCTTTGCTCTTGCTAGCACATTTGCAACTATTGTTGAATACTTCTTTCTTAATCAAGTGGTGTTTCAACATTCTTGTCTAAATTGAATTCTATTAGATAATGGTCCTGCATTTATGGCTAAGGCATGTTACATTTTCACGTCTTAATTAGGGATATGCCACACTTTCATGAGTGTTTATCATCCACAGTTAAACAATTTGTTGGAATGGCTCATTTGGACCTTCAAATGGATAATCATGAAATACGTAAATTTTCAACATTCAGATTAAGATGGTTATTTGCCATCTTTTCGGTGAATTGGGTTTACCTTTATGATTGCCAAGTTGCCAATGCTAAGTTGTAACATTAATATTTGATGAGCATTTTTCCACTTGTCCAAACTAAGTCTGCCAAAAATCTAAACTATGTATAAGTGGGACAATAACAGCTCTACAACTCTTATTATCGCCCACTTGTAAAGTACAAAGTGAATGTTTATTTCCCTAATTTTACAGTACATAATTTATTTAATGATCTTTTTGCTTAGTGGAAAGGATTGTATCAAGTGTTGTGGCAAATGGGACCACAAATTTATGAGGTTCAATATGATGTTTAACAGGCTGATCCTTTAGAAATTATGTATGTACATTAGTTGAAATACTTTATACAAAGGGATTAAGAACAATTGACATCACCTACAAATTTATCAATGCCTACTTTTAATGTTTTTTTAGATTGTGGCCCATCCACGAAAGAATCTATTTTATATCATTCTGAGAGTAAAGGATGCAATGCTATAGACTGATATTAGGATAGTGGAATTTTGGTAGCCATCGAATTGGTTTCAATCTAAATTATATATTCTTATATATAAACTAAAGTTTTTAGGCACATTTCTGTATTTCATTTCCATATTCTATGCAAAATGTGAAATTATAAAAGTACCATTTTAGGGTTCTAGCATTTTGATTGTGGTGGCTAGTTTGGCCATGATTGGAAGCGGCAAATGTACGGTGATGTCCATGCTCCTCCCGCCCCTAGGGCTTGGATCGAAGAAGCAGAAGCCGTCCCATAGGAATCGTCCATGGCGCACCGCCACAGGTTTGCCCCATCCGAAATCCACCTCGTACAGAGGGTGCCGCAACGAGCTCCCAAAGAAGATGTCCACTCCATCGGTCAGCCCCTGCGCCATTGGATTTTTGTTGCGGTAGTTCTCGTGGTAGCTCTGGATTTGCGACCGGATCTCCTCCATTCCAAAGCTCCTGATGGATTTCTTGAGCAGCCCGGCCGCCACCGCCTTGCTGCCGGGTGCCGTGAGCTCGCCGATGGTGGACACCGCCAATCCGGGGAGAACAACATTGCCGAAGTATTCCTGTGGCACCGGCGGCACGATCTTTGGGCGGCAGTTGACGGCAATCTGGGCTCTCGTCGTCTGCGACTTTGGAAGATCTCGAGCACGGCAGAGCTCCACCCAAAAGTGTGCCGCAACGGCCTCGTAGGTGGTAAAGCTCTCGTGTTCTCCGTTCTCTTGCTGGTCGGAGTTTCCTTCGAGCACGAGTGTTTTCATCTTCTCCACCTCGTCTTCGTCGAAGGAGAAGATCCTGGACTCCACTCCAGCTGTTGGATCCACGAAGGTGTACTGGAATGGAGCCGAATCATCAACTTTGGCTGCCAGATCTTTGTTCCTCCGCTCAAAGTAGCGGTCATGGACTGGAGGCTTGGAGATCGGCTTGCCGCTGCTTGCCTCGGCCCAGGAGGTGATGAAGTGCATCATCGCGATCCCGTCAACTGCCAGGTGATCGAAGGACCAAGCAACTGACACAGCTCCACACTTGAACTTGGTCACCTGGGAGATCCACCAAGAACAGATCAACCAAGAATACTTGAGAGCTGTGCCCAGGAAAAAGAAGGAAAACTCTACGGTACCTGAGCAGCGAAGAGTGGTGCTGTGCCGGTCATGGTGGTCTCTTCGTAGTTCCCACGCAGTATGAGCTTCTTAAACAGCGGTGAGTACTGAGAGGTGTCCAGCTCTTCCAGTGACGCATTGGCCTCGGCCACGCTCAGCTCGACGCCATGGTCGTTGCAATCCAGCTCCGGCATGCCACCTCCTGAGAAACTTATCCTTCCGGCAAAGGGATAGAAGTCCACCAAAACTTTGGCGAGGCCCTCCTTCATGTTGCGGACGAGGAGATCTGCGCCTTTACCAGTGGATTCATAGAACGCTACTCTTTGAAGGTATGGCATGGAGTCCCTCTTTTGCATTAGATCGAATGTTGTGAAGGGGAGCTGACACCTCTCTGTGGGATTTGCAGGCGAGACAAGATGTACCTCGGTGATTTTCACTTGAAAGTCGTCCATTTTCATCTTCATCCCGTCGAAGATCCAAGCCCGAACTCGCAGTGACAAGCAAAGCAGCACAGGGACTCCTAGAGGCTCGGGGATATTATATTCTAAACAGCACGCACGGATTGATTGGAGTCAAGTCATGTCACACAAGCAGACGAGACGATGGACTCTGGATATTAACACGTAAGGTGGTACACAGGATTAATTCGTTTTGACTTTCTCACTGAACTTCGCCATTGTTTCAGGAGGAAGGAACACCGTGACTTCAATGGCTTTCCCACCTCTTGGTGACGGGTCGTAGAAGCAGAAGCCGTTCCACAGCTTCGTAGCATGTCGAACAGCGGCTGGTTTCCCCCATCCAAAGTCCAGACTATACATTGGAAATCTTGGAGAGCTGCCACCCCAGGTATCCACACCATCTGTCACGCCTTTGCTGAACGGGTTACTCCCTTTGGTGTCTTCGTTGTAGATGGCAATTGCGGAGCGGATCTCATCCTTCTTGAAACTCGTGATTGCCTCGTGGACAACAGCTCCCGTGAATGGAAGGCCTCCAGTCACAAGTTCCCCGGCTGTGGACTCGGCCAACGCACAGAGCACACAGTTTCCAAAGTAGCCCGCCGGGAGAGGAGTGCTCAGCCGGCTTCTACAGTTGAGTGGAAGCTGATGGCTGGTTTTCTGAGACGCTGGAAGACCGCGAGCCTTGCAAAGTGCTATCCAGACCTGTGACGCCACGACCTCGAACGCTGAGAAACGACCCGACGCCAAGAACTTAAGCCTCTCGATAGTCTCGTCATCGAACTCGAAGATCTTGGCCTCCATGCCAGTGGAAACGTCCTCGAAGACACATGAAAGGGAACTGGTCGGGGTTATGCTGGAGAACTGCTCGTGCTGCTGCTCCAAAAACCGGTCGTGAGTTGGAGGCCTGGAGATGGGAAGGCCTCGACAGATCTCGGACCAGGAACACATGAATTGCCACTGCGAGCTGCCGTCCATGACGAGATGATCAAACGACCAAGCAACACACACCCCTCCGCAGCGAAACTCAGTCACCTGTTCTTCACGAGATCAAACGCGAGAAAAAAGTCTTTTGCGGGATCTTTACCTGGATAGTGATGAAAGGTATGTTGGTCGACAAGCCACTAAACTCATAGTTTCCTCTTTTGATCAGCTTGGAGAACCACGGCCGGGGCTGGGAGTAATCGAGCTCTTCCAGGGAGATGTTTGCATCAGCGACGCAGAACTCAACGCCGGTTCCGCTGCAAGAGATCATAGGTCTGTCTCCCTCGTTTTGGATCTCTAGCCTTCCAGCTAAGGGATAGAAGGCCAAGCACGCCTTCATCCTCTCAATCAAGCTCTCGTTACTGCTACTGCTACCGCCTTTGGATTCGAAGAAGCAAACGCGCTGGAGGTAAGGCATGCTGCTTCTCTTTTGCATTATGTCGAAAGCCGTGAATGGAAGCTTGGAGCAATGACCATCTTCCAGTTTCTTCTCGGGAGAGATCATTGAGACTTGGCGCTCTTGCACTTCAAAGCTCGCCATGGCCGGAAGTGCGGGACTAGAGAGAGAAGAACAGCACTAGTTTATGTCCCATCGTGTCACAAGTCCTCGAAGGAAACGTCAAGCTTTTGGCATCTTCTAGGATATGTCTTACTCTGAGAATTTGCCATCAATACATATATATATACTCTGGGATTTGAAAACGAACCACCCCAACATTTACCGGTAATGAATGATCACCTCAAAGCAATACAAGCAGTGCATTCCAATGTGCAACAACGCTTAGAAGGTGTGATAGTATATTCTAGTGTGTGATTTTATTAGTTTTTTCTAGACTTGCAAGTATACGTTGCTGCATTGAGAATGCTCTCTAAGGCAAAAAGTTTGCTTCTTTCTTCTCTTGTTTAAGACTTAACTCGTGGAAGTTATAGGAAGTCATGGTCAAAGCGACGACCTCGTGGAGAAGGCTGCCATTCACAACTCTAGGTATATTTCTTAAAAATTAGCTGCTCCTATGCCTGGATGAGGCGAAGCGTCCGGCACTCCAATCTCTCTTAAAGCTCAAACTCTGTCAGGAAAACAAAAGAAATACTCAAACTTAATTCCCTGATATCCTTACCTTTCAGAGGATGAGCTCTCGCCCAATCGTCGCAAACAGTTATCAAACCAGCAATGTCCACACACCCGACGTAAACGACGGCTTTGCGGTGCCTGAGCCCAGCCTCGAGAGCTGAAGACAAAAAGAAACAACAGTTAGACAGTATCAATCCTCCGCCAAGAATATCCAAACCTTTCCCGAAGTCGGGATCCTCCTCGACTCGTCTTTGGAACTTGTCGCGGATGGCAGTCTGATCGAGCCTCCTCTCTCCCTTCTTCTTCTTCTTCCTCTTCTTCGTCGATCGAGTATCACGAGCCGGGATCGCCTCGAATTCCACCACCACTCCGCCAAGACTTCCTTCATCGTCAAGGACAGGGGCACCAACCTCCACCGTGCTCTCCACCGGAAGCATCACCATGCGGTAAGGCACGCACTCACCAGTTGTGAGGGTTCGATCCTCAAGGAAGATGCCCGCCACGCACTTGATGTCCCCGGACTCTGGGTCGCGCTTCCAGCTGTAGGCATCCCCCGACTTGGCAACCCAGTCAGTCCAGTTGATGCAATAGTTGAAGCTGACGGGTTTGGTCGGCGTCAGGATGGCGAGCTGTTCGATCTCTTCCTCGTAAGTCACCACGCACTCGTACTCCAGTGGTGGATCCGGAAACACCAGGACGTGCTTGCCGGAGGTGGAGCTGCGGTCGCAGCACACGGCGGCGGTGAAGCAAGAGCCATCGGGCTTCACCAAGGCGGCCAGGCCCCTGTAGTTGTCATCGCTCGGCTCGTCGTCACCCTCCACAAAGTGCAGGCGAGGCACCATCTTGGAGACCCTGGACTGCAACACGCTGCGAACTTGCTCTGGCTTCATGCCCTCTGGCTCCAGCTCCTTGACGTACGACCACAGGCCCGCGACGCTGCTCTTGCACGCCTTGTACCACCTCGACTCTGCGGCCTCTCTCCTTTGCTTCTTCCTTGCCACCAGATCCTTCTCGTCTCGCTGCCGGATGAGATCCTGGACGGCAGGGTGCACGTAAGTAGCGGCAGAGCAGCGGCGGCCGGTGATGAGGAGCGCTTGCTCCCGGCTACTACCGTCACCCTGGTCCTGCATCATCGCGGCGATGTCGTCCAGGGAGAGCATCGAGTTGCCGTCGGGGCCTGGGACTAGAGCGCAGTCGCCGATGCGGAGGGAGTCCGGGTCCAGGCCCCAGTGGCGAGCGATGGCACCCACCATGAGTTTGGAGCCATCCAAAGGGAATCGCAGCGCCTCGTCGTCCCGCTTCACCCACACCACCGCCATAGCTCGCTTAGATCAGGAACCCTAAATCTGCTCGATATGAAGCGATCTGGGAATGGGAAAGAGAAGATTTCATTGATATGTTTTGTCGCCATCACTCCAACCGAGCAAAACGTCGAGAAGAACCACAGTGTCCATTACCATGCATGTCAAAGTTTCGTGAAAGTCCATTACCATCCAAGGTTTGTTGAGAGGTAATTTTGCTTCTCCTGTCTTCTGTATGGACTACATTGGCAATCTTTTTTAAAATGACATTTCTAAATTTTATGTTTCATGGTGGGCATATATAAATGAATGAATGATTAAAAAAATTATTCAATGTTCTCTTTAATGTATACAACTGTGGAAGATGGACCAGGAGCTTAAGTAGGCTCAAAAAGAGCAATCACTTGTATAATTCATCATTGGGACAAAAACTTTATTAGGGGGAAAAATTGTTAAGTCTTAATCTAAACCCTAAACCATATGGTCAACATTGGTCAAAAGAAAGCTTATAGGCATATAAAAGCATGTTAGGGTAAGGAATTTAAAATGAGTGGTGAGGCAATTGAGTTTTTTAAGGTAGTTTGGAGTGAGGAACATTAAAAGGAAATATAGTGTAATTTAAGAAAAATAATCTTTATTTTGGGACATTTAACCCTAAGTGGGTGATTTTCCTTTTATATTTAAACTTTATAATCATTTTTCAATTCATTTTCTTTAGTTGTTTATAATTCACCATGTTTCCTTACAAATTCACACCCTCATGAACGGAAGTTAAAAGTCATAACTCTTTCAAAAACTTTGCTTTATTGACATCCTAAAAGCACACTAAACTTGCTAAATATCAATTAACATATAATGTAATTCTTTCAGCTAACTAACAAAGTCAGATCTTGAAACCCCTTTTGATACCATCTACCTGACATAACTCAAAAGTATATTAAGGCATATTAGAGTAAAGAACTTAAAATTACCTTAGGGCTCACAATTGAGCGGCAGGACAATGAAACTTTTCAAAAGTAAACTAGATCTTTATCTTTTTACACCAGATCATAACAAATATAAATTTTGATTTAAAATTGTATTATAATCATTCAATAAAGTTTCTTCTAGAACAAAGAAAAGGCAAACTTAACTCATCAGAGAAGTCATCAACATTAACGATTGCATCAATAAGTTGCCTCACATGAACTTTCTTTTGGGTAAAAACGACATGCACGCTTTTCATCACACCAGAGTTTGCAAACCTTGCTTGGCTACGCTTTCTCTTTGCCTTTTCGGCTGCCACCCCAGGGAGGTGGCGGTGGAGGACAAAGGACTGCCTCGGCCCCTGCTGCTACTGCCACCTCTGCCGTGGCTGCCGCCATCACCCAGTTGCTAGCTCGGCCATCACCTCGGCAGCTGCTGCCACCTCCGCCATCACCTCGACGGCTGTTGCCACCTCCGCTGTCACCATGTCCCCCACTCCCACCAGCTGCTCCACCGCTCGCACTAGCTTCACGTAGAGCGCTCATGACAAAGTAGCACAAAAACTCAAGTTTCCCCAGGTGGATGCCCACTAGCCTGGCTGGATGAATAGAGAAGATCGCTCCCCCGCGATCCTCATCTCCAACGTACGCGGTTTTCAAACAAGAAAAGAAAGATTAACTCACAATAAGAAACGGTATGATCAAAATATACCAGCGTACATCGTGGAAGAATAGTGGCAACGATCAGCACTTTGTCCTCCTCGTCCGTCGCATCTCTCTGCGTAGTACTGCTGATCAACCTCCGGGAGGTATGCCAAGAAGTGACCGCCTCCCTAGCTTCATCAGCTCCGTGCTTACTGGGAGAAAAGGCATGTCCTTTTCGATCTGCAGCATTGCGATCTCGTGCTCCTCATCCACAGCGACAAACGTAGCGCTCATCCTGGCCTGGAAAAGAACTGCCCATTTGCACCGGAAAGGGTCGTAGCCGGAGAGAGCAGGGACGCCTGCAAACCAAGGCGAGGGAGCAGCATGGATTTCTAGCCAGGAATCAAGAGAAAGTTCTCACCTTGGATCCACCATGACGACAGTCGTGATCGTTGTGACAGAAGAGAGGAAGTGTACTTCACCTTTGACCACTTAGAAGTGTAGCCGACCCAGTGCCGATCGTGCATCACGGAAATCATCATCTTCCACCTCGAATCTTCCATAGCGCCGAGCCGTCTCGCTGCTAGAAGCCATCAGACCAATTGGTAGAAGACTAGGGTTTAAGGGGGTTTTACTAGAAAGAAGTGTTTTTTAGGAGAGTTTTCTTTTCTTTCCCGCGCGGCGAAGCGTGCTTGGCCTTTGTCTTCGGCTATTTCCTCTTCATCTACGTCACGCCCGTGGATGTCAAGGTAGGGATTCTCGCCACGAATGTAGCTAGAGTTTGAGAAATTTATGATCACTTGGACAAGGAGCTTGAAGCCAAGCCGCTACGCCGGAGATTCCTTTAGTCCAGAGTAAGTGCCAATCTTTCTTTCCTCTTTCATGTCGCATTTTTCTAAAACAAATTCTTAGCGGATCTACCTTGACATTGCTTACTCTGGCTTGCAAATGCAGGCTATTTGCAAAACACTGCTAAACCATACTGGGATACCGGGCGAAGTTCAAGCCATAGATGTCACCTTATCGACGGTCTCAACTTATCGATGGGACTGACGTCTTGATCACGAAGTGGAAGGAATACGATAACCAATACTGGAAGCTAGTTCCTACTCGTAAGTTTTTCGATGGTTTTGTCTTGGATCTTCGCTAAATGAAGTATCTACAGGTGATAGCACTGGTGGAGCCGATCATTTCCACCGTGTTTTGAGGACCGAGAACCGTGTGGCTGATCGCTCCTTGAATCACCACCAAGGCCGGAGAAGGTTACAGCGTGACTGCGCGTTGTCCTCGCTCGAATTGGAGTCCTCGACATTAATCACGTTTGTAGGTAGTTTTTTTCCTTTGTTCTTGTACGTACTGTGTTTGACGACTTCGTCTCGCAGGCATCAAAGTGTTTGATACTCACGTTACGGTCAAGGCGTTTGGCCTCTCCAGCTTGGTAGCTACATCGCTTTTCTGTTCTCTCTCTTCCAGCGTCTGAAATTTCTTTCTTTCTTCGTGAAGTACGTTGCTGCATTCGGGAATGCTTCGAGGGATCACAGTCTCTCTAACGCAGAAGGTTTTCTTCGTGAAAGTTCTTTTGACACAGTATTCCTGTCAGCCTCTTGTGGATCTGGTTTGAAACCTGTTCATGTCGGCTTTTGCGTTTGTCCAGGTTGTATGGAATGCGATAGAAGAGTTTTACCTTTGTACTGACAAAGCGATCAAGGATAAAGTATCGGAAATGTACTTATGGCCCAGAACAATGGAAATCAACGTCAAAGACGATCCGAGGTAAGACTTAGCGTGGAAGTCGTACATATACTCATGAATACCTCTCAGAGCGCTGTTGCGGAAAGTCAAGGTTGTCGGGGCGAGTGGTGAAAGACCGTTTGCCAAGAAACCGTGAAAAAGAACACTCTCAATCCAAATTCGAACGAAACCTTTAACGTTTGGAATCTCAAGCTCTTGAGCTATTTGTCTAACTGGGCAAAGGTACGTGACGAGGCTTCTGATTCATACCAAGCCCATCCATAGTGTTTAAGGGAAGAAGTTGCTAATGCCGTCGAAAAGCTCCAGAAGAAAACGGTTTGGTGCCGAAGACTTGGAAGGCAAGCATCACACGAACTGAGGCTCGCATTTAGAGGCAAAGCAAAGAAAACCAAGGTACGCAGAGTCCTCCCTTGATTTGGTTTTTGTTCTTTCTCTGTTGTCTTTGCTGGTGGTTTCTCAGGTTATAAAGAAGAACAAAGATAAAGAACAACCTTCAAGTTCGAAAGATCTTTTAAAGAAAATATACAAAAGAGGTTTAGATGGTCCTTGCGTTATCTTGACATTTGTACTAACTTGGCTGCCTGCGCAGACCGTTTTCGCTCAAATCTCTCGAGCACTGAGTTTTCTCCCCCAATGGCATTGAGCTTACCTCGGGCAATTGTGAAGACTTCCCTGATGAGTTGAGTTCGTCTTTTCTTTGTTTTCACAGGAAGAACTGGTGTTTTCACATGTTGTTCCAGAGGCAAGATTCAGAGCTTACGCACGAGGAAACTCCGGCTACATCGTGAAGGCAGCCATTGTCAAGAAAGAAAGATCGTAGCTCACTAGCGGACGTAGAAGAAACCTGTCGAGAGCTCAAGTTCAAGCGGTTGATTTTCAAGCCGAGTTTCTACTCGAAAAGCAAGCTCTCCAATCCAGTTTGCAGGCATTCGTTTCGTTCAGGGTGACATACACACTTGCCAGAGGAAGCCGCGCCAACGATGGCGTCGCATTGTGCTCTCTTCGATTATTGTTAACTCTATTATATATTTATTACCAAATTAGAGAGAGAGAGAGAGAGAGAGAGAGAGTGTGTGTGTTCCTCTATATCAAAATTTTAAGAGCGGCTAGTTATGTACTAAGTTCACGGACACACGACCAAGTGCCCTGCCACTTGTCCTTCGATGGGAATATCCATGTCTTTGTTGACAAAGTGTCGGCGAATATTCCACTATCCAATACTTAGTAAAGCGCGTTTCAGGGGAGAGAAGTGTGAGGCTTCTACATATGGACACGAGGCGCCGGTGAGAGAATAGGGTTTTTCTTTTCTTTCGCGTGCGGCAATGGGGTTGATCGGCACCGTGCTGGGCCTTGTTGGATTCGCCTGGGGAATCGGCTTTGGCGTCGTCATTGGCTACTTCCTCTTCATCTATTTCACGCCTGTGGATGTCAAGGTAGGGATTCTCGCCATGAATGTAGCTAGATTATGAGGAATTTCTCATGTGCTGATCGCTTGCCTCGCAGGATCCTATAATCCGACCTTTGCAGGAGCTTGATACCAAGTCGCTGCAGGAGCTATTGCCAGAGATTCCTCTCTGGGTTAAAAATCCAGACTATGATAGAGTGAGTGCCAATCTTTCTGTGATTCCTTTCTTCGATGGACGATCATGGTCGCATTTTCTTTTGCCAGGTGGACTGGCTAAACAAATTCTTAGCGGATCTTTGGCCTTTCCTTGACAAGGTGTGATGCTTGAACAATATGGCTAGATTTTATTATATCTTACTTTATGGTTGCATGACTTGCAAATGCAGGCTATTTGCAAGATCATTCGTGACACTGCCAAACCATACATTGATGAATACGGGGCGAAGTACAAGCTACAGTCGTGCGAATTCGAGGCCTTGACATTAGGCACGCTGCCACCGACGTTTGTAGGTAACGTTTTTCATTTTTCTTTTTCTTTTTCTTTTTTTTTTTTTTGTTTTTACGACTTCTTCTCTCAGGCATCAAAGTGTATGATACTCAAGAGAAGGAGATGATTATCGAGCCGTCTCTTAAATGGGCTGGAAATCCAAACATTCTCGTTGCTGTCAAGGCGTTTGGTCTCAGAGCGACTGTCCAGGCTAGTAGTTACAGCGCTTTTTTTTCTCTTCCAGCGTCTGAGCTTTTGCCCTTTCTTCAGGTTGTCGACTTGCAAGTGTTCGCCACCGCACGCGTTACGTTGAAGCCCCTTGTTGCTGCATTCCCATGCTTTTGCAAGATCATAGTCTCTCTAATGGACAAGGTTTACTTTTTTTTTTTCTCCTGTTTAAGTTCTTTTGACATAACATTCCTGCCAGCCTCATGTGGATTTTGGTTTGAAACTTCTCGGTGGCGACTTAATGGCAATTCCAGGGCTTTATGCGTTTGTCCAGGTTTTTTGGAATTCGAAAAAAAGTTTTACCTCTATACTCACAAAGCTGATTTCTCAGGACCTGATCAAGGATAAAGTCTCAGAAATGTACTTGTGGCCAAGAACACTGGAAATCAACGTCATAGACGATCCGAAGTAAGAATTTAATTCGGGGACATCATACATATACTTTATAATTACCTCTCAGAGCGGTAAAGAAACCTGTTGGAATGCTGGAAGTCAAGGTTGTCAAGGCGATGGGCCTCAAGAAGAAAGACCTCATGGGGAAGTCTGACCCATACGTGAGGCTGGTCCTCGGTGAAGGACCGTTTGCCAAGAAGAAAACGACCGTGAAAATGAACACTCTCAATCCAGAATGGAACGAAAACTTTCACATGCTTGTTCTGGATCCAGAATCTCAAGCTCTTGAGCTATTTGTTTACGACTGGGAAAAGGTACGTGGTTCTCCTACAAGCATTATAACGAACTTAAATGGGCTTGCAGATTGGATCCCATGACAAGATTGGTATGCAAGTTGTTCCATTGAAAGGCATCGTTCCTGGTGAAACAAAGACTTTGACATTAGACCTGGTTAAGAGTATGGATCCCAATGATCCAGCAAATCAGAAGCCTCGTGGTCAGCTTACAATTGAACTGACTTACAAAGCGTTCAAGGAGGATCAAGACATTCCAATCGAAGAAGAAGATGCTAATGCCGTCGAAAAAGCTCCCGAAGGTACTCCCGAAGGAGGTGGTCTGCTTGTTGTGACTCTCCATGGTGCCGAAGACTTGGAAGGCAAGCACCACACGAATCCTTATGTGAGGCTGACGTTTAGAGGCGAAACAAAGAAAACCAAGGTAAGTAGTGTCCGGTTGATTTGGTTTTTGTTCTTTCTCTGTTTTGTTCACGCGTGGTTTTTTTCAGGCTATAAAGAAGAACCGAGATCCCCGATGGGATCAAGAGTTCCAGTACCTTTTAGCGGAGCCACCAGTGGAGGACCGCTTGCGAGTGGAAGTCATAAGTAAAGCAATGGGAATTGGAGTCCACCTGCGTGTAAGTTTTTCTAGCCATGTACTTCCAGGAACAGCGTCTTAGTTACGGCAAATGCAGGAAAATCTGGGATACGCAGACATCAACCTTGCGGACGTGGTGAATAACAAGCGGATCAACGAAACTTATCAGCTGATCGACTCCAAAAACGGCAAGATTCAAATCGAGATGGAGTGGAGAGCGAGCTGAGCCAACACAACGGGAGACTGTTCGTGGCAGCTTCTTCAGAGGAATCAAGTCATCCGGGGCGTGAGCGAGCGTAAAATGGAGAAACAATAAACAATCCACATAGGCTTCATAATCTCTGTACAGTTTGAGCACTTTTCTGAGCTGTTGTAACTAAGGTTTGATTGGAACTAGTAGTCCAATGTGATGTTAAGACTGGCCACATTATTTTCTATAAAGCTTCCCTACTCTTTTCTGCCTTAAGAGTTCACGCAGTAGCAGCAGCAGCACACGATCCGTCAAACAAGTAGGCAGGATCATACTTCAAGCCCTTGTTCACCTTGACATCACCCACACCATTGATAGCCTTGATCAGCTCAATGATCGTCGTCCGTCTTGGCTACTTTCACACCACCGCTAGCGCACACCTCGTGATCAAAGTCCTCTACCCTCGTGTTGAAGCAAGATCGTTCGCATCTTCTAGACTTGTCTCCCCGGTCTTGCTCGCTCTCAAAGTTGCGTGACAGCAGCAAGTTTGTCATGCCCTCGTCATGGGCTTTCTCCTCTCCGGCACCGCTCCACTTGGCTATAGTTCCAAAACGTCTCCTCGCTCATGAGCTTGGGGACGTTGTCCTCAAAGTAGCGCCGGAAGTGAGGCTTGAGCTGGTGTGGGGCGTGGGCATGTGATCGGCTGACTGCCGGAACTGGACCCTCTGCCTCTTGAACAGCCGGACGGTGATGCCATCTTGTTCGCTCGTCTCGAGCATCAGGTTTTGGATTTGCCGTGGGTGGCAGCGGACACAAGACTTTTCTACTCCACGCACCATGTTCTTCGTAGTGGTAGTCGTCGTTCCCAGCATCACTCGTTCTTCTTCATCATCAAGGCTTGCAAGACAGAATGGAATCAAGTGCTAGACAAGATGGTAAACCTGTCTCATACAATTGCTAGAAGTCCCAATGCGTTTTAGCGGCATTGCCCAGCTTGAGAGGCCATCTGTTGAAAGGTTTGAAGACCACCACCTTTTATCACCAGTGTCTAAGAATTCTTGTTTTAAGAAAATTAAAAGAGTTTAAAGAAAAAAAATTTACATGGAGATGGGAGGTATCGATCCTCCTACCTGTTATATGCGGAACAACTGCTCTACCATTTGAGCTACATCCCCTAATTGTTATAATGCACATATAAACTAAACTAAATCAAATGAAAATAGTTCGTTTATAATCAAGCTTATGTTTAATCTCTAGCCGCTCAACCAAGCATATGATCAATACACTCAAAAAAGAAAAATAAGAAAAGGAATTCATTTTTGTTTTCCTTTGCTAAGTTTCTGTCTCTGTGCTGGTTGCCATGGACGAGCCAGAGGCTAGACTAACAGATGCCAAGATGGCTACTGAGTTACCACCCGGCTGACCAGTGGCTCTTTTTCAATAATTCGACATCTACACAAAGATGGTTTAGTTTGATGCATATATATTCTGATACAAATTTCAAGAAGTTCCGTTGTGGAAGAATAATCAAAACCATTGCTTTTGAAGCTCCGGGCTCCTCATTGGTTTTACCCCTGCTGTAAATATTTGTTGAAGAAGGTATGTCACTTCCATTGCATGCCAGACATTTACTTATGTTGCTCATGGTTTGGATCCCTCTCTCCGGAGATCTAAGCCATTCTAGGTAATAAAACTCTAAATCTCTTTTGATGCTCTCACATTTTCTATTCTACTTTTTGCAGCGCAAACTTTTGAAAGTGGAGAGGACAAAAGTAAGCTGCACTTAAATGTATACTACCTACCAAGTTACAAATATAGATACTTGAAGCAGAGTTTTTACGTATTGCAAGTCTCTCATAGCATCAGGGTCCAGGAATTCCACTTGATTGGCATGGATTTGAGCTTCAACTTCCTTGACGAGTTGGTTCACTTTTCTTTTAAAGTCGATGCAGAGGAGAATGTAGTCATGGTTCGCATCTACTACTGTGTTCATTAAACCATCTGCTAGCGAGAGAAAAGGTTCCAAAGCGTTACTGTGGAGAGATTAAAGCCTCGAGATGCAAGGATGTTGGAGGCGCTGGTGATACTCCCAAGCCAAGCATTGGCGCAGCCTTACTCTGAAACCAAGAAACACACTGACTTTCTCATATTTGCTTGCCGCCAAGTCGCCCTCGGCGCTAGAGCATCTCAATTGATCAAATATCTTGTATTTATATGAATCATTGGTAGTATTGTCTCAACAGGCTGGTGTTTTCCTTTGTGCACAGATAAAATTGCTGCACTAATTTGAATTTTATATAAGAAGTTAAAATACTTTTTAACCTCTTGGCTCAACATGTTTCTATAGCTCTCTATGATGCAAATTTAACAAGTCGGAGGAGACCGAAGAGGCAAGTGTTCCCCCTTTTCTTGCATTTGAGTGATGAAATTTTAGGCTGGCATAGATGATAGGTGATACTGAAGATCTCACCCACTATTGCTTCTGGTGATCAAAACTGGTCTGGAACTGGCAGGATGACAAGAGAGAGAGGCTGTGGAAGCTCTTGATCTACTATGTACAGAGAAGTTGGAGCCTCTTCTGAGATTAACACATTGAAAAGAGCTATGGTTGCTTTTAACAAGTACAAGATCATGAAGAGGAAGTTGAGGCGATTTCTCAGCGAGATGCTAAGGAACAATGACACTGAGTGGCTATGCTGAAGGTTTTCCCCTCAACTCCTTAACCTCGTATGATCTCAACAGAACCTTGAACGTGGAACAATTAGTCTAGAAAGCGTAGAACTTTTAAAAGTGTAATTGACCATTGTTGAACATTCAGCTGACTCAAGCTTGACTCCTCCGTCACAACCATGGTTGACTGTTATATCAGTGGCTCAAATTTGACAAGCACTAGTCAACCTTAGTTGACTATCTTCAGAAGACCCCCTGTGGATAAAAACAGTGTAGAAAGTTCTTTCTTTTACCTTTGTGTACGAGAGTTGTGTCACTCCACCGATTGGGGTGCCGCAAAATCAAAATGAGGATCGTATGGTTCATGCCAAGACATTGATCCTTGTTTTAACATTTGCAAGATTTTAATCGATGCAATGCAATGCAATGGAAGTGACATACCTTCTTCAACAAATATTTACAGCAGTGGTAAAACCAATGAGGAGCCCGGAGCTCGTGAGCTAAACAAGTCAATGAAAGTCAATAAAAAGTCGCCAATAAAGTCAAATAAAGTCAACATAAATCTCCAAAGACTGTCCATTCATCGCATCGAGCCGAACACCGTGATTGTATGACGTATCTGTGACCTCTTTCTCCGCGGTCCTACCGTATACACATATTTATAGTAACCCTAATTGACGAATATTCACTTGTCCGCCCTGAAAAGATCCAAATATGCATCTCCGCATTTGCTGCTTCTGGTTCTTGGTCTTGATGATCACGTAGGAAGCAGGATCAGCATCATGATCATCGGCAGCAAAGTAGACGGTCTTGACAATCCACTTCATGAAAACATTAGGGCTGTTGTCACTGTCCAGGGAAATAATCGTTGGGAGCGTTCTGGTTCGGCTGAAAGTTTCTGTATATGTCGCCTACTTCCAAAATAACAACAAAGAAAACGCTAACGATTGTCCGTATGTACAGAAATACATTGTTGAAAAATATTGACGAATAAAACAAAAGAAAGCCAAGTGAACATCATCAATTAGTCAATCAAACAAACCAAATAAGTAAACACACCTGGGATCGTGAACAAAACCAGCCAAGCTGAATATTCTACGTCGTAAAGCGTGATAATATTCCGTCAAGTGACCGTGGAGCGTGAGAAATCGCGGTCGTACGGACATTCGCGAGCGAGGGAAAGAGAGGAAGAGCTAGACGAAAGAGAGGGAGAGACAGAGGAAAGAAGGAGCGAGCCGGCAATGGCGAGGAGGAAGAATCGGAGGTGTTCGCCGTCAGCCGATGATCGCGATGCTGCTCCCGCCGCCGCCGCTCCTCCTCCTTCTCCTCCTACTCCACCTCCGCCTGGAAATTCCTCTCCTCTGGTGTCGCTCGAGATGGAATCCAGCACAATGCAGGAGATCACGCGCGTCGTGGGGAGGATCGTCGTCGACAAGCCAGCTATCCAAGAAGCGGAGGCGCCGCAGCCGAAGAAAGATCCACCCGGCGAGCCGCAGAAGCAGCAAAATGCACAGATTTCGCAGCCGATCCATCGATCTTCGCAGCCGGCGGATGGATCCGGCGGGACGAATCTTGCCGCGGCTATGCATGGCGCTCCATCGCGAGCATTGCTCGTCTCTGGGATCCCGCAGCACATCGTCGACCCTCTGGTGATGCAAGATCTGGAATCTTGGGGTCCCATTCGATCTTTCTTCCTCGGCGCTCGAGCGCAAGGCTGTATTACGGTCTACTACTACGATCTTCGCCACGCGCAGGACGCGCTTCTCTCCATCCGGTCGCAGTACTTCTTCCAGCAGTGTAATCCGGCTCGTTTCGCGCAGCATTCCTACCAGAATCCCCAGAATCACCAGGCTTTGGCTGGCCCCTCGCAGCCGCCACAGCAATCTTGCGGCCCAAAGCCATACGAGCCGGTGAAACACGAGCTGGCCAACATCGGATTTGTCACGGAGGATCATCTCCATCGCCAGCAGCAGCAGCAGCCCGAGACGATCCCTCCTTCTGCTTCCAAGTTTTCTCCCTTTGCGATTCCCTTCGTCAGCGATCTCAGCTACAGCGAGGGCCGCGGATTGATCGGCGGATGCCCAGCATGGGCGGAGTTCGTCACTATCTCTCCCTCGTATCCCTTGATCGATTCGCCCAACCAGGGGACCTTGGTCGTGTTCTATCTCCGGATGAACATTACTCACGCCGAACTCGCAAGTATCTTCAAGCAATACGGTAAGCCCATGCATTTTCAAGAATTTGAGCATATCTATAGAACTAGACCATCCCATTGAATTGCTTCCAAGACTGTAGCTTCATGTTAGTTCAGTTTTGATTTGCGTGATCAGTTTATGCATGAATTCTTTGTGGCTTGAGTGATTGTTTTTGTGTGTGTCTAGTTTGGTATTAGTCAAGGTTTGCTCGCGGATTTGCTTGATATCATAGTGGATTCTTGGATATGTATGAATTCTCTTGTAGTTTCTTCGCCAACTAGAGTTCTAATCTAGCGAAAGCCTCTATTCTAAAGTTTTCAATCTTCTTTTAACGCAGGTGACGTGAGAGAAATCCGCGAAGCCCCCAGCAGGAGGAGCAGATTCGTGGAGTTTTACGACATACGGGACGCTGCCCGGGCCAAGGAAGCTCTGGACGGGCTCGAGGTATTGGGACGGCGGATTAAGATCGAATTTAGCAGGCCGTGTCAACCAAGGAACGCCTACAACACCACCCCGGCCTTATATCCTTCCTTCGTCCCGTACTACCCGTACTACTACAACGCAAGCTCCGCCACGCCACCGTACCACCAGCACGATCAAACTACTGAAACGGCATACTACACGTACGGCCCCTCCCCGCAATACGATCACGCCGCCAACACCAGCACTGCAGACACCGCCTACAATTTTGGAAGAGCCGCCGCATTCCACTATTATGTTCCAGGGGCATACAACCTTAGTTACGCTCTCGGTACCGGGTACTATGGCTATCCAAACTACAGCCACCACCACTACCAGCAGCAACAGCTTTACGGATATTACAACCAGCAGCAGCAGCCGCAACAGCAGCAGTACTCCCGGACGTACGCTAGCGCTCCCCCACTGTTGCCGTCACCACGGTTTAATGCGAGCGTACCTCGTGGATATGGTCGGGCTGGACCAGCGGCGGCCTCAGTCACCACCAGGCGGCGCTTTGAGATCAGCGCTTACAATCAGCAGCAGCCAGCGTCGCTCAGAACCCGGGACGAGAGCGCTGCCAGTGCCAGTGGCAACCTTGGCGATGGCAGAGGCTGCATTGTCAGCTTTTCTTCGGAGCGTATCTACGAAGAATCCAAGTGGACTGGTAGGAAGCACAGGGTGGTGAGAAGGATCGCAAGGGACGAGTCTCAGTACGTTTTCAACACGGGGGAGGAAGAGGAAAGCGGACGTACCACGCTGATGATCAGGAACATTCCCAATAAATACAGGTAGACTTGGTCGAATATATGCTTTCTGATCGTTAGCTTTTTTCACCTCTTTTCTTTTGTTGTAGCCTTCGCATAGTGATTCGGGTGCTGGACCAGCACTGTATCACCTACAACAATGGCCTGGGAGAGGACGAAAAGGTTTCTGCTTACGACTTTGTTTATCTCCCAGTGGATTTCATGTAAGCCACGAAACCTTTACGCTTGCTTTCTTTTCCTTCATATTGATTACTGTCGTCAGCTATGATCAATTAATACTGGAGCTATGCGCACGCAGGAACAGATCCAACCTTGGATACGCCTTCGTTAATTTCACCACGGTGGTGGCAACCAAAAGGCTGCACAACGACTTCCACGGCCGACGCTGGGAGGAATTCAAGTCCCGGAAAGTCTGTCAGGTTGCTTATGCCCGGCTCCAGGCGAGTAAAACTCTAGAACCAAACGATCTCGGATAGCTGACTTGTCAACATTGTTTTGCTACAGGGCCGAGAACAACTAGAGGAGCACTTCAAGAACTCCCGATTTGCCTGTGACACCGACGAGTACTTGCCGCTGGTGTTTAGTCCTCCAAGGACGGGCTTGCAGTGTTCTTCGCCAACGGTGGTGTCCTCCTTGGCCGCGAGAAAGGCCGGGGGCAAGCGTCTGGAGATTAAGTCACTCGAGAATTTGCCGACACCAGATCCATCGCAGGAGGCGACCGAAGCGCCACAGACAAGCATTGATCTCGAGTCGGGATCCGAGCAGCCGTGGGAGGGCGATCAGATTGACGACGACGACGACGAGAACTTTGAGTCTGAGGATCTGGAAGAAGAGCTGGACGAAGACGATGACGATGGTGGATCCTCGCAGGATAATGACGAAGATGGAGAAGGCAACCAGTGAGAGTGGTGAGCGCTCTCTGGAAGAAGTTAACGCCAATGAAATAAACATCCTTCATTCCAGATTTTAGGGTTCTTGGCAGGATGAACGGGAGAACGCGCGGGAGCTCTCGGCCGGGATCAGCAGCGGCCGCGGTGCGCGCCTCCCACACGCCGATCAAGCCGCCGGCGGTGACGTGCCGGGAGCGCGTCCAGGTTGTGGTGCGATGCCGTCCAATGTCGCATCAGGAGGCCATGGATGGGCGCCAATGCTGCATTGTCGTTGATCAGCAGGAGAAAACCATAGAGGTGAGTGCTTGGATTGTCAGATTCCATCGAAATATTTTGGGAATTTGGAGTCTCTGCTTCTCCATTGACACGGTTTCTTGTGTTTAGGTGTCTGGCGATGGGAGGAGAGGCAGCAGCAACGATTCCAACATCAAAGTCTTTACATTCGATCGTGTGTATGATTCCAAGTGCACACAAAACCAGCTCTACCAGGAAGTGGCTCATCCGATCGTCCAGAGCGTCATGCACGGCTACAATGGAACCGTGTTGGCTTATGGCCAGACGGCCTCCGGAAAAACATACACTATGGAAGGATTTGATGACTCTCCAGGTAACAAACTTTCACTAGCTCCAGAGGTTGGGGATAGATCATAGCTTAGAAAAAAATCTGTTAGCTTTTCTATAGCATATAGCAGTTCTAACTACGAATTTTCCTTGTGTTACAGAGTTACGTGGTATAATTCCTCACGCGTTTGAGGAAATTTTTTCTCACATATCTCAAAGCCAGAGTTCCGATCGTTTTCTCGTGAGAGCCTCCTACCTGGAGATTTACAACGAAGAGATCCGGGATCTCTTGGCACCAAGTACTTCGCCAGGGGCGAGACTGGAGCTAAAAGAGAGCCCGGACGCGGGTGTTTACGTGAGGAATCTCACTTGCCTGACCGTGCATAGCCTCTCGGACATCATTCGACTACTGATGGTGGCTATTTCATCTTTAATCCATTCTTTCTAAGTCACAGTAAGAACGGCAAGCTTGGTAAGATGGTTTTTGTTATTCTGGCTCTTGCTCAATGTTGGTTAGTAGCTTACAGGTTGGGAAAAAGAACCGATCTGTCGGAGCAACTCTTATGAACCAAGACTCGTCGCGTTCGCATTCCATATTCACCATAACTGTGGAGACTAGTGTGGAGGATCCAGAAACTGGCTTGCACATACGAGTTGGGAAACTAAACCTGGTATGCACGTTGAAGATTTCGTTTTCTCATCTTTAGGATTAACAACGCTCATTCAGGTCGATCTTGCTGGTAGTGAAAGAATGAGCAAAACTGGAGCTACTGGGGATAGATTGAAAGAGCTCACCAACATAAATTGGTCTCTTACAGCTCTTGGAAATGTCATCTCGGCCCTGGTTGATGGAAGGAGTACGCACATTCCCTACCGTGATTCGAAGCTGACCAGGCTCTTGCAAGACTCACTCGGTGGGAATACAAGGACTGTCATGGTGGCAAACATTGGACCTGCTGATTATAACTATGAAGAGTCCGTCAGCACACTACGGTATGCCAATCGTGCAAAGAGCATTAAGAACAAACCGCGTATCAACGAGGATCCAAAGGACGCGTTGCTGCGGGAGTTCCAGGCTGAAATTATCAGGTTCATTGGCTTGATATGTGTTCTCAAGCTTATGAACTCTGAAAATTGTGTTAACAGGTTAAAAGCGCAGCTTAGTGGCGATGCTGTTAACGATTTGACCAAGGAAATCTGTACGCTAAAGAACGAGAAAGAAATGGTGGAAAAGAACTTGAGAAACTTGAGGCAGCAAGCTGGAGTTGATCCTTACCTGTGCCAGTCATTCAGTGAACAAGCCATTTCATACATTAAAGCGGATTTAGAGAAAAAGGTAAGCCTCGTCAAAAAACACGCCATGTTGGTATGAAAGGGTCCGTGTTTTGCAGGCGCATTTCGACATTGAGTGCTTGCGAGCAGAAAAGGAGCGTTCAGACGAAGAGAAGCAGAAACTGACGGAGCAGCTGCTCAAGCAGTTGAAGGACATGCAAACCCATTATGAGGTATGCGGAATGAAACATGGTTGCTTTTATTAGGCTATTTTTTCTCTTGTGCAGTCGTTTGCCAAGGAAAAAGAAGACCGTGATTTCCTAACTAATAAGCTGAGAGCTTTGGAGGACAAAGTTTTGCATGGTTCCAACAACGATAACGAGAAGCTGGTGGAGAAAGCAAAGCAGCAGGAGGAAGAGCTTGCTCTTTACCAGCATCATATCCAAGAACGGCAGCAACTGGATGAAGAGCGCCAGCGGAAGATAGCAGAGCTTGAGGTAAAAAAGGAAACACGCTTTTGCATTTTCCACTCACTTGGGACGTCGCGTGTGACAGGACGCACAACTGATGGCCGAGGTGAAGTGCAGCACAATGGAGGAAGAGTTGGAAATGAAAACGACCAAATTTCGAAAGCTGATGGCGTGTTACCAGCAGAGCAAAGCCGACTTAGCCTCGTTGCGGACGGAGCTGCAGGACACAATCCACGAGTTTCATCGGGAGCGCACCGATTTGCTTCTCAGTTTGCGCTCGCTGGAGCAGCAACATCAGCTCAAGTCTTTAGTGATCGAGGTAAAAAGACAATGAGCTCAAACGATTCTGATTCTTGTTTCTCTTTTTCTTTATACAGAAATTTATTCCGTCCGAGGAGCTGGCTAAGATCATGAAGAGAGTGGAGTGGGACGACGAGACGGAAAGATGGGTGTTCCAGAGCATGGTGGCTAATTTCCAGTCGGGTATGAGTCCGTTCATCGTGGATCCAGCTAACAAGCAGCCACTTCAAAGGCCGGCATCAGCCGTGGGAAGGAGTAGACCGCCAGGATCCAGATACCAGTAAGCTTCTAAGCAACTTTGTTCTTGCAAAGTTCTTACATGCTCGCTCTTCCCAGGATGGACAACGTGCTCAAGATTGGCTTGGACATTCCAAAGCACACTCTCTACGATTACGAGAATCACCTCGACCGCGCACAGGCTCAAGCTCACATCATGCAGGCTTTCTCCCCGAACTTTGGCGAAGACGACGGCCCATACCTGTCATACGAGCAAAAGACAGGAGCGGCAAAGCCTCTTCGCCCAAGAACAGCAAACAGATGAGGGATAGAAAGAAGAAGCGTCAAAACTCTGGGACGAGTTTACAAAATTTCTGGCCGCGAGGAACTAGCAAACAGATGAAGGATAGAAAGAAGCTTTCGCTCGTTCAAAACTCTGGGACGAGTTCACAAAATTTCTCAACGATCGGCCGAGGAACTAGCTGCACTACTTACTCTCGAAGTGGAGCACTCACGGCTTACTTTGCAAGCTGAAGCCACCGGGCTCTCCATCGCTCATCTCGGCAAAGCGGCTCGGTCCTTCGCTGATTCTCGGGGAGCTTACTTTCTCTTTGGATGCGCTCTTGCTCTTGAGGAGGCCGGCTGGAGTGGCCTGGTAGTTGTTCACGATGCCTTTGTAGAGACTGAACGCGGTCGCCAGCATGCTCGACGGGTCACCGACATTGTTTGGCAAAAGCATGGTTGTCCCCTGTGACAAAGTATAGATAAACAAGCTATCAAATGGAAACGAGATCGTTTTACCTCTTTGGCGATCTTCCCAAACTCTCTCAAGTAGTGCTCGGCAACTCGGAGTGACACGGCCTGCAATAGCATCGCGAGATTGGTAGGAGAATGCGAAGGATAAAAAGAGAGAAGAAACTGGATGGTTTTACCTCAGCGCCGCCAGCGGCGGTGATAGCAGCAGCAAGCGTTTGAATGGCTGCAGCCTCTCCTTGGGACTCTAGAATCTTGGCATTCCTCACACCATCGGCTCTGTTGATATTGGATTGCATTTCACCTGCATGAGAGAAGAAACGAAAGAGGAAGTTAAGTTCTTGGTTGCGAGTGTTTCGTACCTTCAGACTCCAGAATTTGCGCCCTCTTCCTACGCTCGGCCTCGGCTTGCATTTCCATTGCCGCTTTTATGCCGGGAGGAGGTGAGATGTCCCCTACAAAAGCCAGGATGGAAATAAAATCACTCGGATGCTCTCAAACTCACTGATCTCGTAGCGAAGACACTCCAGGCCCCAGTCGTTCGCAGCGAGATTGATCGATTTCTGCAATGGAAAACAAAACAATAAAAAGTGGTAACTTGAAAGCATTTTCACTCACTCACCACAATATTTTCATTCAGCGCGGCTCGCTCTTCGAAGGTCTTGTCCAGTGTCAGCTTCCCGAGCTCGCTCCTCATTGTCGTCTGCGCAAGCTGGACGACCGTGGAGACAACGTTCCCGACGCCATACGACGCCTTCTTCGGGTCCACGATCTGCCAATCCAAAGCGCCAAACCATTAGAACAATAGACAATCTTAAAACACTGAAAACTCTCAAAAGCAGAACGAAAGAAAGAAATAGCCATTGTCCAAACACATGGCAAAGGAAAACCAGGAAAAGAAGAGCTTAACTCTCCAAAGAACGAAGAGCAGCTCACGAAAGCTCTAAAAAAGACACAAAATCGAAGAGAAGACTCATGCTACAAGAAGAAAGAAGAAAGAGAAGTGCTTGCCTTGATGTAGAGCACTCCATCCACACTGATGCTCACATTGTCACGGGTCACCGCAGTCTGGTGGTAGATCGGGATGGCCTCCTCTTTGAGCGAGTGGACATACGCAATGCGATCCACCAGAGGTATCATGATGTGAAACCCAGACTCCAGTGTCTTCAAGTATCTCCCAAATCGCTCCACAACGTAGGCTTTCTTCTCTGGAACGATCCGGATGCCCCAGTTCGTCGGAGGCCTGCTCGCAAACCTTTTGCATTAGTAGAAGAGATGATCTTCCAAGAAAGCAATGCGGGGAAAATACCTCATATCATCGGAGTACCTCTCATTGCTCAAATTCCTGCGCGACAGAGAGAGCTAAGCGCAAGAAACGATCCACCGGGACGACAGGATCTTACCTGACAGAGATGGCGCGCGGGGTGACTTTGCGGAGCTCGCCCAGGCGCATCAGCGATCGTCTTGCCGCCATAGCCATGCCCTAAGTGTGTGTAAGTTCATTACATGCTAGCCTCCTTAAGTACTCTTTAAAATTTTCTTTGCCGCGAAGACAACCTACTGAGGCCTGCCGAGAGGAATTCCTTCGATGTAAAGCCATCGCTTGGTTCCTTCCGGACCCTCGCTGCGAACAAAGCGGCTCCTCTCCAGCAAAAACTTATTGATGCGATCGTTCGCGCGGCTTCCTCTGGCAAGAGTGTATGTCACCTTGAATGAAACGAATGCCTGCAAATTGGATTGGAGAGCCATTCTTCTTTTTAGAGACTCTGCTTACCTCGTCCTCGCTCTCGGTTTGGAAATCCAGTATCTCCAAGCGCTTGAACTTGAGCTTTCGACAGGTTGCTTCTACGTCCGCTAGAAGCCTGGCCTCTCCACCTGAAAGAAAGAAAGAACAGCACGAGCTACGATCTTTCTTTCTCGAGAATGATCTATCGTCAAACCTTGAAAGCATGCGTTTTCCTTGTGGGTTGTCTTCACGACGTAGTCCGAGTTTCCTCGTGCATAAGCGCTGAATCTCGCCTCTGAAAAAACAAGTGAAAACACCAGTTCTTCCTGGGAAAACAAGGAAAGACGAGCTCACTTACTCATCACAGCCAGCGCATCCGGTTCTGCTCCTCCTTCGTGCAGAACACCACAGCATGACTCGTAGCTCTTCCTCAGTTCTCCTCCACCGCACGGGCAAACACTTTGATTTTCCTTCTCGTCTTCGACTTGAGCGCCGCCCTCTTCTTTCTCTGCCGCAGCCTGTTCGTCCGTTTTACCCCTCCGGCTTCTCTGGAGAAGCTCCTTGAACCCCCTGCTCGCTCTTGCCTCAAAACTTGGACGTGGCCTCGACTCCCAGCTGAATTGCAAAGAATCTCGAGTGGATAAGCAGACACCATTTGCGGGAACCGGGGAACTCTTCAGCAGTGCTCGAGGTAAGCTCAATGCCATTCAGTGACAATGGCCTCCCTTAGGAGAAAAACTCAATGCTCGAAAAGAAAGTTCTTGCCTCGGATTTGAGCGAAATCTTTCTCTCGGGTCTGCTCAGGCACCCAAGTTAGTACAAATGGAAAAGCAAAACTCGGGAGGATTACCTCTCAATAAAACTTCTGCGAGGAGTCGACTTTGGACGTGAGAGCGTAGCGCTCTCACGTCACAGATCCCGCAGCCGCGGCTTTTGCTGCTTTCATCTTTCGCAATCTCTCTTGCCACGAATCTTTTTGCATTGCAATGACCTGCATGATGCGTGAGCACAGGAATAGGCAATGAAAAACACAAACCTCTTCACTCAGAAGATCACTCGCCTTCTTTTCGTGATTCTTCTCGACGTGAGAACTTGGAGCTTGTTGTTCCTCCTCTTTTGGAACTGATCCGGAGCCAAACATAGCAGCGTCGTGAGCAGCCTCGGTCCGCTTCTCCCTTGTGAGCTGTGGCGAATTCACGAGTAAACAATTTTGGCTCGATAAACGCTCGTCCATACCTGGCTAGAGTATGAAAGATACGATCCAGCAGTGTTCCTTAGCGAAGAAGTATCGTCCGGACCAGCACCTACATGAAGCAAAAACATTTCCTAGCGAGTATAGCATCACAAGAGAGAGTGCTTACTGCTACTTCTGGGATTGGAGTCTTCTTCCTCCTCGTCCAAAGGAGCACTCTTATCAAAATCAAAGCGCTCCCAGTTCTTGGTGTCTTTGTCTTTGGCCGCTAAAAAACGAAAGAACTCACTTTGGAGAATTTTTATCAAAGATGAAACTAGAAAGCACGAGAAGCACACCTGTTTGGGAGAGCTGGAAGTTCATCCTTGCCTTCACTCTTTCAGCTGGAGTCTAGACAAACAAACAAAAAAAAAAAAAAAAAACGAAGGAATTCATCCAAAACATTTTAATACCGTCAACATACCATTCGATCGTAGTCTGGAATGAGCTCTTCGCTTCTCGAGGCTTTCCCAGATCTGGAACGCTTGGCATTCTCCGGGGGGCTCTTGCTCCTCCTGCTGGACTTCTTGCCGCCGCGATCTGGTTTGCCAGCGCCGGCAAATCCCACTCCCGCCCTGGACGATCGCCCGCGCTCCATAGGGTTTCTCCTCTCGCAGATTTAGGGTTCCTGGTCTGTGATGTGCTGCTTGAAGAAGCAGCAAAGGAAGGCATTCTCCAATCTCCTCAAAGCGTGCATCGATTCCCGGGACTTCTCCCGGGGCCGCAAGCTCCACGCGCAGATCCTCGCCAGCGGCTGCTCCGGCGACACCCACCTCGCCAATCTCCTCCTCACAATGTACCGCCGCTGCCGCAGCCTCGACGACGCGCGCGCCGTCTTTGATTCCATCCCGGAGCCCTCGACATGTCATTGGAACATCATCATCGCGGCGTGCATCGAGAGTGGCGACCTGGATCTCGCGGGCAGCCTCTACGAGCGGATGCCCTACCGGGATCTTGTCACGCAAAACACGCTGCTTCAGGCATTTGCCCAGACGGGGGATCTGGATCGTACAAAGAGGTTCTTCGATCGAGGCCGCAACAAGGACGTGATCTCCTGGAACATCATGATCAAGGGCTTTGGCCAAAGAGGGCAGTGTCTCTCCGCCAGAGAGTTCTTTCAACGCATGCCCCAGAGGAGCGTAGTGTCCTGGACGACGCTCCTCGCAGCAAATGCCGCTTTTGGGCATTTGGAAACTGCCGAAAGAATATTCGATTCCATGCCGGAGCGCGACGCCATCGCTTGCAATGCGATGCTCCACACGCGCGCCGACAGGATCGATCTTTGCAGGGATTTCTTCCGCCACAAGATGACCCACAGGGATCCAATCAGCTGGAACACGCTCATTGCGGCGCTGGCGGGCGCGGGGCACTTCCTCGAGGCCCGGGGCGCGTTCGATCGGATGCCGCACACCAACCTGGGCGCCTGGAACGAGATGATATCGATCTTCTCCAGGAACTCGCAGCTCCAGGAGGCGATTCAAGCCTTCGCCAAGATGCCGGAGAGGGACGTTCTCTCGTGGAACTCCATCGTCCGGGCCTACGCGCTCAATGGGCACCTGGATGAGATCGGTGGCGCGCTGGAGAGAATGCCACAGTGGGGTGCCGCGAGCTGGAATTCCTTGCTCCAGGCACTGGTGGAGCACCGGCAATTCGATCTCGCCACCACGCTTTTCGACGGGATGGCGCACAAGAGCGTCGTGTCGTGGACGTGTATGATCCCAGCACAGGAAGGACAAGAAAAGAGAGGTTCTCTTCCGGAAAATCGCCAAGAACACGACGATCCAAGCGCAAGCTCACCGGACAAAGAGAAGATCTTCTTCGACAAGATGCCGGCTTGGAACTCGGTGTCTTGGAACACACTCATGAAAACCTACGCTGAATCTTCGAATTTGGATAGAGCAAGAGAGTGTTTCTATCTCATGCCAGATCCAAACTTGGTAACATGGAACCTCATGACGTCAGCATATGCCCAGTCTGGGCATTTACGGGAGATGGAAGAGTTTTTCCGGCTCATGAATCTCAATGGGGTTCCTCCAAACGAGAAAACGTTCACAAGCATGATTGGTGGGTGTGGCAGCTGCGGGAAAATCAAGGACGCCCAGCAGTTTTTCTTCGCAATGACAATGGACTTCGGTCTCTCGCCGGATCCAATCGAGTATCGCTGCATGGTGGACGTGCTTGGACGCCGGAGTTTCTTGAAGGAGATGGAGGATCTCGTCCGAAACATGCCATTCCATCCGCCAACCGAGGCTTTGCTTGCGGCGGAGAGCTACTGCCGGATTCATGCTGTGAATTCGTAGCAAATCTCGGGCTCTTCTATCGAAGGAAAATCAGGAGAATTGTCTCTCGAATTCCAGCGAAGACTCAAACTCCGAGATAACGGTTTTTACATGAACAGCAAATGCCCATATACTAGGCATCTCTGCTGGAACTCTAGTTCTTGACAAGCTTGACCTTGTCAATCTTGAGAAGTTTCACGAAGAACCAGTCTCTCACCCATGCCGGCGCGTAGAACATCGACCAGAGCAACGGGACGAAGTGGCCATAACCGAAGTAGCTCGGGGGCTTGGCATCCAGGACCTTGCTCGCCATGGCTCTCGCAAACTCGGGCGCTGGAGTGGACTTGGGGCCCTGCGAGAGCATCCCGCGGTACTCGATGGATTCCTGGAATGGCTTGTAGATCTTGAGGTCGTAACTCAGGCCTGTGGAGAGCGCAGCCTTGCCGATGTTCGAGACGATCGCTCCGGGAGTGACGAGGATCACGTCGATGTTGAATGGTCGCAGCTCCACTCTAGAAGAAGAAGGAAAGTTCCAAGCGATCATAGCTATGCGTGATCATAGCTCTCCAAACAGTTTGGAGAGCTATGATCTTCGAGAGAGACTTGGAAGAAAGCCCACCTTAGAGAGTCGGTTAATGCGTGGAGGGCTGCTTTGGAGGAAGTGTAGCCAGCCATCCAAGGGCCAGAAGCGTACGCAGCGATGCTACCGACGTTCACGATCCTTCCTCTTCCTTGTTTCACCATAAAAGGAACCACCTTTTGGATCAAAGACACAGTTCCTGGGAAAAAAATTGCTCAAAACCGAGTCGCTCGATCGATCTCTAGGCCTCGCTCGAAAGGAATTTCGATCCAGAGAAGAACTTACCAAAGACATTGGTTCTATACGCTCTCTCCAGCATCTCCAAGGGGATCTCCGCGATCGGCCCCAGGCAAGGAACGCCCGCATTGTTGATGAGCACATCGATCTTCCCAAATCTCTGGATCGTCGACTCCACCGCCCGGGACATGGAGTCCTCGTCCAGCACATCCAGCGTAATGCAGCTGATGGAGCTGGGCTGCTGCTGCTCCAGCCCCCGGATCGATGCGAGCGAACGCGCCGACGCCACAACCGTGCATCCCCGGCTGCCCAATTCCGCTGCCAGCGCGTGCCCGATCCCTCCCTCGGAGCACCCGGTGATCAGGACTACCAGATCCTTGGGCGCTAGGCGGGATCCGCCCAAACCCATCGCGATCCTCGTGCCCAAGAACCCTAAAACAGGTCACCACGAACAACCCTAAAACCAGGGCTCCCGCGAAGAGCCCTAAAACAGGGCCAGCACATAGGGCGACGATTTCTCCGGCCGGAGCGCTCGCATTTGCTGCGCGGCATCCCTGGCGCGCTCTCGGTCGCTATCGCTGCGACAGGCATCCAAAAGCCCCGTCCAGGAGACGTAATCCGGCTCGAATGGCATGCTCTGGACGAGCTCCTCCGCCTCGGCGACGCGGCCTCCGCGGCCCAGGAGATCCGCGACGCAGGCGAAGTGCTCCACGCCCGGGGCGATCTCAAAATCGGCGCCCATACCGACGAATTCCATCCACCCCTCGCGCAGCAGCCCCGCGTGGCCACACGCCCACAAGATCGACGTGAAGCTCGCGGAATCGGGCGCGATCCCTTCGATCCTCATCTCGCGCGCAAAGAAGAGAGCGTCGAGCGATCGCCCATTCTGCGCGTGGCCCGCGATCATGGCATTGAAGGAGATGGTGTCGCGGGTGGGCATCGCGCGGAATACCGATCGCGCGAGCTCCAGATCCCCGAGCTTGGAGTAGAAGCTCAAGATCGCATTGCCCACGAGGAGCGATTGTGGGAACTCCGCCGCCATTGCCGCGATCATTCCCGCGCTGGAATCCCTGGAGATGGAGGAGATGGATTGGAGGAGAGTGACGACTGTCACCTCGTTTGGCCGCTCGCCCTCTAGATTCATGGATCGAAACGCGCGCACCGCCTCTTTGGAATGCCCATTCCGGGCATACGCCGCCATGAGCGCCGTCCACGACACCACATTCTTTCTCGGCATCGCCAAGAAGATGCTCTCCGCTCGATCGATCTGCGAGAATCGGCCGAGAGCGACGATCAACGCGTTCCCAATCTTGGGCGATTCATCGCCATCGCCATCGTCTCTCTCCCAATCTCCCAGACGCGATTGGATCATTCTCACGTCCCTGCCGCTGGAGCAAACATCCAGAACTGTGACGAAGGAGACCTCGTTTGGAGCGATGCCGTCGAGCTCCATGGATTGAAACGTATAACGCGCTCTAGCAAGATGCCCTGTTTGGGCATATCCAGACACCATAGTGTTCCAGCTCGTCACGTCTCTAGCTTCCATTTTCTGGAACAATCCTTCCGCGCTAGCCATTTTTTTAAACCTCGTGTAAGCAGCGAGAATAGCATTGTAGCAAATCACGCTGGGATTTTGTATCATATCAAAGAAACCTCTCGCGAGAAACAGATGCCCATTCTCGGCATATGCCACGAGCATCATTGTAAAGGAGAAGGCATTTGGGGTCGCAATGGTATCGAACACAAGCCGTGCGTCTTGGGCAGAGCCACATTTCCCGTACATTTGGAGCAGGGTATTGGCCATGAAACGGTCCTCTTCGTAGCCCGTACGGGCAATGGATCCATGGGCTTGCCTCCCTCGCGGCAAATGGCTTTGTGTGCCAGCCTTGTCGAGCGTGGCTGCCCATTGTCGCTTGAAGCTCTGGGGGGCAGTCCGGGAGAATCCATGCATCCAACCTGACCTAAATATTGGGTGGTTCCTTTTCAAATTTCGCAGCACATGCCGAGAGCGGGCATCTTTCTAGGTTTTGAATATAGAATATATTTGTTTTGATGGTATATTCTTAGAGTATAAGGCATATCCTAAAAAGCTTGACGTTTTCTTCGAGGACTTGTCGGTGGGACACATAAAATAGTGCTGTTCTCCTCACTCTCTAGTCTCGCACTTCCGGCCATGGCGAGCTTTGAAGTGCAAGAGCGCCAAGTCTCAATGATCTCTCCCGAGAAGAAACTGGAAGATGCCCACTACTCCAAGCTTCCATTCACGACTTTCGACATAATGCAAAAGAGAAGCAGCATGCCTTACCTCCAGCGCGTTTGCTTCTTCGAATCCAAAGGCGGTAGCAGTAGCAGTAACGAGAGCTTGATTGAGAGGATGAAGGCGAGCTTGGCCAAAGTCCTGGTAGATTTCTATCCCTTAGCTGGAAGGCTAGAGATAAAAAACGAGGGAGACAGACCTGTGATCTCTTGCAGCGGAGCCGGCGTTGAGTTCTGCGTCGCTGATGCAAACGTCTCCCTGGAGGAGCTCGATTACTCCCAGCCCCGGCCGTGGTTCTCCAAGCTGATCAAAAGAGGAAACTATGAGTTTAGTGGCTTGTCGACCAACATACCTTTCATCACTATCCAGGTAAAGATCCCGCAAAAAGGCTTTTTTCTCGCGTTTGATCTCGTGAAGAACAGGTGACCGTGTTTCGCTGCGGAGGCGTGTGTGTTGCTTGGTCGTATGATCATCTCGTCATGGACGGCAGCTCGCAGTGGCAATTCATGTGTTCCTGGTCCGAGATCTGTCGAGGCCTTCCCATCTCCAGGCCTCCAACTCACGACCGGTTTTTCGAGCAGCAGCACGAGCAGTTCTCCAGCATAACCCCGACCAGTTCCCTTTCATGTGTCTTCGAGGACGTTTCCTCTGGCATGGAGGCCAAGATCTTCGAGTTCGATGACGAGACTATCGAGAGGCTTAAGTTCTTGGCGTCGGGTCGTTTCTCAGCGTTCGAGGTCGTGGCGTCACAGGTCTGGATAGCACTTTGCAAGGCTCGCGATCTTCCAGCGTCTCAGAAAACCAGCCATCAGCTTCCACTCAACTGTAGAAGCCGGCTGAGCACTCCTCTCCCGGCCGGCTACTTTGGAAACTGTGTGCTCTGTGCGTTGGCCGAGTCCACAGCCGGGGAACTTGTGACTGGAGGGCTTCCATTCACGGCAGCTGTTGTCCACGAGGCAATCACGAGTTTCAAGAAGGATGAGATCCGCTCCGCAATTGCCATCTACAACGAAGACACCAAAGGGACTAGCCCGTTCAGCAAAGGCGTGACAGATGGTGTGGATACCTGGGGTGGCAGCTCTCCAAGATTTCCAATGTATAGTCTGGACTTTGGATGGGGGAAACCAGCCGCTGTTCGACACGCTACGAAGCTGTGGAACGGCTTCTGCTTCTACGACCCGTCACCGAGAGGTGGTAAAGCCATTGAAGCCACGGTGTACCTTTCTCCTGAAACAATGGCGAAGTTCAGTGAGGAAGTCAAGACGAATTAATCCTGTGTACCACCTTACGTGTTATATCCAAAGTCCGTCGTCTCGTCTGCTTGTGTGACATGACTTGACTCCAATCAATCCGTGCCTGCTGTTTAGAATATAATATCCCCGAGCCTCTAGGAGTCCGTGCGTTTCTGTGCTGCTTTGCTTGTCACTGCGAGTTCGGGCTTGGATCTCCGACGGGATGAAGATGAAAATGGACGACTTTCAAGTGAAAATCACCGAGGTACATCTTGTCTCGCCTGCAGATCCCACAGAGAGGTGTCAGCTCCCCTTCACAACATTCGATCTAATGCAAAAGAGGGACTCCATGCCATACCTTCAAAGAGTAGCGTTCTATGAATCCACTGGTAAAGACGCAGATCTCCTCGTCCGCAACATGAAGGAGGGCCTCGCCAAAGTTTTGGTGGACTTCTATCCCTTTGCCGGAAGGATAAGTTTCTCAGGAGGTGGCATGCCGGAGCTGGATTGCAACGACCATGGCGTCGAGCTGAGCGTGGCCGAGGCCAATGCGTCACTGGAAGAGCTGGACACCTCTCAGTACTCACCGCTGTTTAAGAAGCTCATACTGCGTGGGAACTACGAAGAGACCACCATGACCGGCACAGCACCACTCTTCGCTGCTCAGGTACCGTAGAGTTTTCCTTCTTTTTCCTGGGCACAGCTCTCAAGTATTCTTGGTGGATCTGTTCTTGGGGATCTCCCAGGTGACTAAGTTCAAGTGTGGAGCTGTGTCAGTTGCTTGGTCCTTCGATCACCTGGCAGTTGACGGGATCGCGATGATGCACTTCATCACCTCCTGGGCCGAGGCAAGCAGCGGCAAGCCGATCTCCAAGCCTCCAGTCCATGACCGCTACTTTGAGCGGAGGAACAAAGATCTGGCAGCCAAAGTTGATGATTCCGCTCCATTCCAGTACACCTTCGTGGATCCAACAGCTGGAGTGGAGTCCAGGATCTTCTCCTTCGACGAAGACGAGGTGGAGAAGATGAAAAAACTCGTGCTCGAAGGAAACTCCGACCAGCAAGAGAACGGAGAACACGAGAGCTTCACCACCTACGAGGCCGTTGCGGCACACTTTTGGGTGGAGCTCTGCCGTGCTCGAGATCTTCCAAAGTCGCAGACGACGAGAGCCCAGATTGCCGTCAACTGCCGCCCAAAGATCGTGCCGCCGGTGCCACAGGAATACTTCGGCAATGTTGTTCTCCCCGGATTGGCGGTGTCCACCATCGGCGAGCTCACGGCACCCGGCAGCAAGGCGGTGGCGGCCAGGCTGCTCAAGAAATCCATCAGGAGCTTTGGAATGGAGGAGATCCGGTCGCAAATCCAGAGCTACCACGAGAACTACCGCAACAAAAATCCAATGGCGCAGGGGCTGACCGATGGAGTGGACATCTTCTTTGGGAGCTCGTTGCGGCACCCTCTGTACGAGGTGGATTTCGGATGGGGCAAACCTGTGGCGGTGCGCCACGGACGATTCCTATGGGACGGCTTCTGCTTCTTCGATCCAAGCCCTAGGGGCGGGAGGAGCATGGACGCCACCGTACATTTGCCGCCCCCAACCATGGCCAAATTCGCAGCTACAATCAAAATGCTAGAACCCTAAAATGGTACTTTCAAAATTTCACATTTTATTTTTTAAGAGTGCATAAAATATGGAAATGAAATATAAAAATATGCCCAAAAACCTTAATTTATATATAGGAGCACGTAATTCAGATTAAAACCAATTTGATAGCTAATGAAATTCTATTATGCTAATATTAGTTTATGACATTATAACTGTACATTTGGATTTTATATCATCCTTTACTCCCAGAATGATATAAAATAGGTTTACTTAGGGATGGGCTGCAATATAAAAGAACATTAAGAGGAGGCATTGATGGATCTATAAGTGGTGTTAGTTGTTCTTAATCTTTTTATATTAGCATTTCAGCTAATGTATATGTACAATTTTTGGAGGATCAACTTGCTAAACATCCTATTGAACCTCATAAATTTGTGGTCCCACTTGCCACAACACTTGGATATAGTTCTTTCCACTAAACAAGAAGCCCATTAGATAAACCATATGCCATAAAATTAAAAAAATATACTATCTACTTTGTACTTTACAAGTGGATGATAATGGAAGTTGTAAAGTTGTTATTGTCCCAGTTATACACGGTTTAGATTTTTGGTAAACTTTGCTTGGACAAGTGGAATATTAATCAAATATTAGTTGTACAACTTAGCATTGGCAATTTGGTAATCATGAAGGTAAACCCAACTCATCCAAGAGATGGCAAATAATCATCCTAATTTGAATGTTGAAAGTTCATGTACTTCATGATCATCTATTTGAAGGTTCGAATGAGCCATTCCACTAAATCGTCTAACTGTGGATGATAAACACTTGTGAAAGTGTGGTATATCCCTAATCAAGACATTAAAATGTGAAATGCCTTAGCCATAAATGACAGACCATTATCTAACAAAATTCACTTTCGACAAAAATGTTGGAACACCACTTGATTAAAAAGGAAGTATTCAACAATAGTTGCAAACGTGCTAGCAAAAGCATTAACTTTCACTCAACGAGTCAAGTAGTTAGAAATAATAATGACATACTCATTACCAGTAGTCAATCGTGGAAAAGGCCCCATCATATCAAACGCCACTAACTCAAACGGATGGGAAATTATAATTAATTTCAACTGTCCTTTTGTAACAAAAGAGGAAGTATTACGAACTTGGAACCAAATGTAGCTATGCACATATTAAATAACATCACGTCGCATCTCTGGCCAATAAAAAGATTTGTGCAACGTCTTGGTCATATGAGAATATCCTATCTACTCGCCTAAAACAAGAGAATCATAGTAGACATGGAGAAAGTGTGTAATAAACATTGAAAACACCACCAATGGTAAATGATTATTAGGATTTGTCCCCACAAAATAAAAAAAGCCATCCTTAAGGAGATATTGAGAATGTAAATGCCAAAATGGCAAATCATCAACAATTGATGCAAGATTCTCAAATCCATTGCGAAGCCTTTGAATCCATGACTCAATATTTTAAGCATCAAAACCTTGTCAAAAGAAGGTAAATTGTGCTTTGCACCTTGTGAACACTAAACATCAAATATAACAACTACTAATAGCATGGAGTCCTTGTCTAAAAATTCACAGATGTTGGAAAAACAAGTTCGTTATAAAAATGAGAAAAGAGCAAAGAAGGAAGAAGAGCTCGAGAAAGGGCATTAACATCAACCATAGAACTCTCTAGAGATAAATAACATCAAAATCATATATCTGAAGCTTCAAAGCCCATCGAGCACTACGACCAACAAAGTTTGATTGCTTCAATAATAAAGTAATTATAACATAATCACCTTCTAGTAATGTTTGATATGCATGAAGTTTTTCAAAACCCCAAACTACTGCTAAACACTCCTTCTCTGTCATGAAATAGTTTACCTTTGTTCGTTATAATGTACAACTAATATATGTAATGGGATAGTGTTGACTAAGCACACTTGGGTTTTCTTGCATTAACACACCTCTGAGACCAATATTAGAAACATCCATATGTAAAATGAAAGGTCAAGTGAAGTCCGAATATACCAAAATTGGAAGAGTTGTTAATAGCTCTTTGAGATTTATAAATGCTCGCTCACAGTCTATAGACCAGATAGAAGATGATATGGACAACGTTTGCAACACTCGCAACTATGTAGTACAATCAGAAAGATGATCAAAAAAACAATCAAGATACTACACCTTGCCCAAGTAACACTGCATATCATTTATACACTTTGGAGTAAGGAATTTTAAAACAACCACAAGTTTATCAGGATCAATTTGCAAGCCCTCATGAGAAATATAGTTAAGTTGTGTCCTTAAACCCAAATACATACTTCAACCACTTCAACTTTAAACCAACATCCCGTAACCGATTCAACACCTTACGAACATCATAAATGTGTTCCTCCTATGTCCCCTCCAAATGGATCAAGATATTATTGATGAAGTCAACAACCACCTCCAACATGTCGCAAAGAACCTTGTCCAACATTCGTTGGAAAGTCACTAAAGCATTGTTTAAACCAAACAGCATCAAGAACTTGTATAAACCAAATGGTGTATGAAAAATAGTCTTAGAAATATCTTCCTTGGCCATCGGCACTACCAATACCTAGAAGCAAAATCTAAGTTGGTGAACTGACTTCTCTCTAGACGATCTAAGAGATTAGCAGTGTGAGGAAGAAGGTATACATTCAGGATTGTCACTTCGTTTAATGGATGATAGTTGATGTAGAAACAAATACTCTAGTAGGCTTTATTACAAGATGAACTTCACATACCCAAGGACTCTGCGACTTTTGAATAACACCCTTTTCCAATATTTCTTTGACATTTATATGTAAAATCTTGATCTCTTTTGGTGACTGTGTAAGGAACTAACTCCCCGAGGTGTGAAAAGCTAAAGGATCCCCGAAAGTATAACCAAAATGATAAAGAGTTCATTAGATGAGACCAAGTCCAAGATTGAGTTTGAGACCGACTCTAAGACCGAGTTCGAGACCGAGTTTGAAACCGAGTTTGAGACCGAGTCCAAGACTGAGTTCGAGATCAAGTCTGAGATTCGAGATTGGGTCCAAGACCGAGATTGAGTTCGAAATTGAGTCCAACGAGTACGCGGGCCGATTT